GGTGTGCAAGTTTGGTGATCAAAAGGCGGGGTTTACATTCTTTGGCAGTTAGGGGTTTTATATTCCTATATGAGCCGGTTTCCAGTAAGGGTGTGCTCAGCGGCTTGACTAGGGTGGGGGAATGTCTTAGGCAATAAGTAGGTCATGTGGGGGTTATACATGAGATGGTGGGTGTAGCACAAAATGGAATTAGTTTTGCTCTGCTTGTCCAGGGGTAGGGGATTTTTGTTAAATTCTTTGTGTCCCACAGTCAGAGGTGGGCATGACGCCTCTGGGGGTAGACAGGGCTTGAAAGGTCTGAGAGGCCAGCTCTGGGAACCCCCTCCACTCTGAAGATGTGGCTGCAGGACAGAGGGAGGAAGGGGACAGGAAGACCTGAGAGCAGGATTTCCTTCTGCTGCCACAGGGTCTGAAGCTCCACTAGCCCCACAGGGACACTGCAAGTTTGCATTAGGGACAAAATACGTTCCGAATGATCTTAGGGAAAATTGGTTACTCAGCAGTGGCACAGAAAAACATACAATTTAGAACTAGAGTTTAAAAGCAAGAAAGGGCTATTGGTGACTTCCCTCTGTGTTTCACATGTGAAAGGGAAAAAAGCAGGGCAGGGAAATGCAGGATTTCAGGCTCTGGATGAAGGACAGTGAAATCCCTTCTAAGAGAGGTTTCCATGACAATTACCATCTAAAAATACACATATTTTCAGAAAATAGGGAACTAGCAAGTCCCCAAAGTTACTAAATTGCTACCTTGAGTGTGGGGCAAGGCAAGCAGGGAGGGGTTGGGGGAAGCCAGGAGAGACCTGCTTTGCTCCACTGGACAGACAGCAGCGCTGTGGGGTGAAGAAACCAAACGTGAGGAAAGGGGACCTTTATGTGGTTCTGTGGTCTGCTCCCACCTGCATCCTAAAAGGACTCTTCAACCTCACAGGTTGTTTTCAGCTTCTGAAATGAGATAATTTGACTTAAAGCTGAAGACTTTTACCTACTGGTTCAGAGAAAATATTTGCAAATCATTTAGAGTAAAACCTTGGCTTTCCCTGTCCAGCCTGCATTACCCAGTTGTAGCAAAAATATTAAGCTGGTTTACCTAAAATCCCTTACACTCAATATCCAATCAAATTCCTTATCCCCCACAATCTACCAGGTTCTATCCAATCAACTTGGCCTGCCGTCAATAAGACTCCTATTAAGTCTATTCTGCCAGAATCCCTCTTACCCTTGATATTTCCTGTCAGTAATTTTCTACTCACTGACCTCCACCCTGTTCTTTGGATACTCTTTTAGGGTACCCAGCTGCAATTTCAACATGCACGCATAGGTTTCCTCCCCACAACACCAAGCAATTTTCAGCTCAACTCTGCCACAGTCTACCTGGAGATAGCAACAGATTCCACAGGTTAAGGGTTCAGTCCTACAAGACACCTTCCACCCCCCACCGCAGATACTTATCACAAGCCCCAGGCTGTTAACCTGTCTTTTGACCACCTGCCTACACACTGAAGTTTCCAAGAACCTCCTCCTTAGGTTTTTTTAATTTCTTAGAGCAGCATGGAAAACTCAGGGAAACACTCACTTGCATTAACCAGTTTATTAAAAGATGTGATAAAAGATTCGAATCTGTCTCAGACTTTGAGCCTGGAGTTCTCTCTTGTCCAGCCAGAAAGCAGATGCAGAATTAAATGTGAGAGGGGCTAATGTCCGGGTAGAGACAAGAGCCCTGAGTAAGGGTCCTTCCTCCTCTTTTATTTGAATCAGAAGGCTAACAAACATGGTGGACAATGAAACAGTTATCATTAACAGCTATCACACACTCAAGTATGTGAAAGAGGGTTTTGAAGATACGCGGTGTTAGGGGTTTGGGTCAATACAAAACAAGATCCCAGCGCCAAGCAGATGGCTGTTTATGGCAGGCACTGGACACCAGGCACCTTGTCTGTTATCTTAACTTGCCTAGGGGATAAGACAGAACATGCTACCTCAGGGTCAACGAGGCACATTTCTTTTGCAGATTAACTCCGCTCTGGGCAATTTCACCCTACTGTGGTGGTCTATTACCCTGTTTAGCTATTCTGGATGCTTTTGTCCTAAGCCTTGTTAACCCACTGGTGCAAGCTCAGGGAATTCTTGAACTTATTTCCCATATGAATCAACAGCTAGATGAAGAAATACATAGAGGGAGGTCTGGGGAAAGGGCGTGGGGCTCTCATGCCTTCTCTAGGCCCACCATTCTTCCCAAACCTCCACCTGTTCACCAACCGGGAAGCTCTCTAAACCCAGTCCTTTTGCTTTTTTTAGGGAGGCCTCATCGATAGTCACTATTGACTAAATCATTGGCTGATGCAACTTCCAGCCTCTCTCCCCTTCCCAGAGGTGGGGGTGGGGCAGGGCTGAAAGTTCCAGTTCCCTGATTACAGGGTTGGTTTTCCTGTCAACTAGCCCTGCCCTTGGATGGGGTCTAAAAGTCACCATCATTAATAACAAGACACCCCTTTTTACGTGTATGGCTCTAAGGAGTTTTTAGGAACTGTGGATGAAGAGTAAACATAACTGAGAAATATATATATATGTGTGTGTACATATATAAACACACACACACACACACACACACATATATACACATGATTTGAATGATGAAATATATATATTTTTTTAATGTTTATTTTTGAGAGCGAGAGAGAGGGAGACAGGGAGTGAGTGGACGAGGGGCAGAGAGAGAGAGAGAGGGAGGCACAGAATCCAAAGCAGGCTCCAGGCTCTGAGCTGTCAGCACAGAGACCCACATGGGGCTCCAATGCAGGAACTGTGGGATCATGTCCTGAGCCACAGTCAGATGCTTAACCAACTGAGCCACCCAGGTGCCCCTGAAATATATATTTCTTTATAAATCATTATATTACAGCTATAAATCCTGACTTTGACTTGTATTCAGAATTGAGCCCAGTTCCATTGAGTCTGAAGTCTAGTGTCCCTATTGCAATAGTTCCTGAAGAAAATTTGTTTTTACTACTTAAAGCAGTCTGGTTCTGGTTTGTTTTGTTTTTGTTTGCTTGTCTTTTTAAATTTATTGTCAAATTGGCTTACATACAACACCCAGTGCTCATCCCAACAAGTGCCCTCCTCCTCAATGCCCATCACCCACTTTCCCCTCTCCCCCACCCCCCATCAACCCTCAGTTTGTTCTCTGTATTTAAGAGTCTCTTATGGTTTGCCTCCCCCCCTTGTTTGTCTTTGTTTTTAACATACGTAAGCTTATGAATTAAGAAATATTATCAGGATAAGACAGTGTTGCTCCTGGATTGGAAATAGACTGGGAAGTGTTCTGTTTGAACCAGTGGCCCAGCACAACCCTTGTGTTATACCCAGAATTCGTGATCCCCAAAGACCGCCAGGGAGCCGGGTCCGATGCAAAAGTAAAGAGCCTTTATTCGAGCTAGCTCGAGCTCAATCCCCTACCTGCACCGACGCAGCGGTGAGAGGCTGGGGAGAGAGCGAGTTTCAAAAGCACAAAGGTTTTATAGGGGTCTAGGGGCAGTTGGTGAGGTAATGGCTGTGGCCTCAGCCGATTGGCTGGGGAACAGGTCGGAGTCCTGTTACCCAGGTCGCTGGGCGTGTTTTGATCGGGAAGTTTGAAAGGGAGAGAGGGAGGTTACTCAAGGGGAGGAGGCGTGGTCTGAGGTTTCTGTGATTTTCCCAGAAAAGGGGCCATGTCGGGACATTATCACTCAAGGTGGAGGACACAGAACAAGATGGAGTCGGTCGGCATAGGTCCGCTCTTTCACTCCCCCCTTGTCATGTAGCTTGCGGACCCAATCATGGGACCGGCTGCATTTCTATTTTGTAATCTGGGAGCGTATGGTGACAAGGGGAACAGTTTGGAGGTCTATGCAAAGTTCTGGGAACCAAGTGCCCCTGGGGTGGCTCTGGGAGGTCTGATTAAGTATTGTCTCCGAGCTGGTGTCTATGATCTGCCAGGTGATATCTTGGGGGGCATGGGGACTCCCGGCAGCATGAGCAGTGACAAGCAGAGCTAACAGAGTTACCAATATTAGGTGGGTCGAATGCGCTGTAGCTTGAGCTTGAGTGGGTTGTGTTGGTCCCGATTGACGGCCCATCACGTGATGAAGTCCTTCCGGATTGAGGAGGGGTCCGCTGGCCGAACGTGGGTATGATGGACCCAGGTCACGATGCCATCTACTTTGAGAGCGGTGGAGGTTGTCAGCACCACGATGTAGGGTCCCTTCCAGCGCGGCTTGAGGGTCTCTTGGTGGTGCCTCTTGACGTAGACCCAGCCTCCCTGCCTGTACTGATGAGGGGTCGGGGTCAGGCCAGCCTCGTAGATGGCACGGAGGCATGGCCAAATGTCCTCGTGCGCCCTCTGGAGCCCTCTCAAGGAAAGAAAAAGTTCTTGCTCTTTAAACTCAGCAAAAGTTCAGCTTGAAGGTTGGGAATAATAGGGGGTGGCCTGCCAAACATGATCTCATAGGGAGTAAAACCCAAGGTGTAAGGAGTGTTCCTAACCCGGTAAAGGGCATATAGTAGGAGAGTCACCCAGTCCCCGCCAGTCTCCATGGCTAATTTGGTAAGGATCTCTTTTAGGGTTCTATTCATTCTTTCTACCTGTCCTGAGCTCTGGGGCCTATAAGCACAATGTAATTTCCAGTTTGCCCCCACCGCCTTGGCTACTGCCTGCATTACCTACGAGATAAAAGCTGGTCCATTGTCTGATCCTATGGTGGCAGGAAAACCATACCTGGGTAAGATGTCTTCTAGTAGCTTCTTAGCCACCGTCTGAGCCGTTTCATGCTTGGTTGGGTATGCCTCCACCCAGCCAGAGAAGGTGTCTGTAAATACTAAAAGATATTTATAACCATACTTTCCTGGTTTGACTTCAGTGAAGTCGACTTCCCATTGGGCTCCCGGTCTGTTGCCTCTGAGCCTGGTTCCTTTTTTAGTTGATGTGGCTCTCGCGTTGGTGAGTTGGCAGGTCTTGCAGGCAGATACAACTTGCTCTATTTTGGTGTCCTGTTGGTGAATCTTGATTCCGGCATGTCGGATTAAGTCTTTTAATTTTTGGGCCCCCATGTGAGTAGACCGATGCATGTGCTCTAATATTGAGACTCCGAGCCGGTCTGGCAACACGAGCTCCTTGTTATGTGTATACCACCATCCCTTTATCTCCTGGGCCATGGGGAGTTTCTTGATCCTCTGTAACTCCTCCTGGGAGTATTCGGGCTGGTCTGGTAAAACTGGGTCTCCCAAGTCCGGTAGTTGTTAAGCCGTTTTCTAGCTCCCAACGTTAGCGCCTTGGTGAGGGCTATGAGCTCTGCTCACTGGGCTGCCGTCCCGGAGGGTAGAGCCTCCGCCCATACGGTGTCTGTTTTGGTGACCACCGCTGCACCCGCGTACCTGTGTCCATCCCGCACAAAGCTGCTGCCATCAGTGAACCAAGTAGCCTCGGCATCGGGGAGGGGCCTGTCGGTCAGGTCTGTCCAGAATCCATGTACTTGTTTCAGGATTCCCACAGTCATGTAGTGGAGCACCTAGGGCAGGGCCGGGCCGGGCAGCAGGGTTGCAGGATTGAGGGCTGCACTGGGGTGGAACCGCACCCATGGAAGGTTGAGTAGGAGGCTCTGGTAATAAGTCACATGTGTGTTGCTCATCCATCTATCAGGAGGCTGTTTCAGGACCTCTTCAATGGCGTGTGGGGTCATGATCCAGATCTCCTGTCCTAGGGTCAGTTTGTCTGCGTCCTTGACTAGGAGTGCTGTCGCTGCAATAATTCTTAGGCATGGCGGCCAGCTGGCAGCCACTGGGTCTAGTTTCTTGGACAGGTAAGCCACCGGGCGGTTCCAGGGGCCTAAGGCTTGAGTTAGAACCCCTTTTGCTATTCCCTTATGTTCCTCTACAAAGAGGTAGAAGGGCTTCGTAATGTCTGGTAGGCACAGGGCTGGGGCACTTAGGAGGGCCTTTTTTAACTGATTAAAGGCAGTTTCTTCTTTTTCAGCCCATTTAAATGTTTCCCCCTCTTTGGTAGCTTCATATAGGGGCCTGGCGATCTCAGCAAAACCTGGAACCCAGAGGCGGCAGTAGCCGGCTGATCCTAGGAATTCCCTCACTTCTCTTCGGGAGGTGGGAGTAGAGATCTTTAGGACAGTTTCTTTTCTGGCTTCTGATAACCGCCGCTGTCCACCCTCCAGGATATATCCCAGGTAACTTACCCTCTTCCTGCATATCTGAGCCTTCTTCACGGATGCCCAGTACCCTAAGGCGCCCAGGGTAGCCAGCAGGTCCTGGGTCCCTCGCTCACAGTCTTTGGCCATGTCAGCAGCAATCAGGATGTCATCTACGTACTGCAGGAGGGTGAGGCCAGGGTGTTCCCTTCTGTACTCACCCAGGTCCTCGTGTAGTGCCTCGTCGAAGATGGTGGGTGAATTTTTGAATCCCTGAGATAGCCGTGTCCAGGTGAGTTGCCCACTGTAGCCCTCCTCCGGATCATGCCACTCGAAGGCGAACAAGGGTTGGCTCTGGGGTGCCAGCAGCAGACTGAAGAAGGCGTCCTTTAAATCTAGTACAGTATACCAGACCTAGGAGGGCGCCAAGGAGCTCGAGAGTATATGGATTGGGAACAGTTGGGTGTATGTCCGCGACCCTCTTATTTACTTCCCGGAGGTCTTGTACCGGTCGGTAGTCATTTGTGTGAGGCTTTTTGACCAGCAGTAGGGGGGTGTTCCAGGGAGACTGGCAAGGAACTAGTACCCCTAGGCTTCGTAGTCTCCAGATGTGTGGCTGGATCCCCTTCCGGGCCTCCTGAGACATGGGGTATTGTTTGATCCTTACCAGACTTTCTCCTGGCTTGAGCTCTACCAAGACCAGGGTCCTGGGAGTGGCTAGTCTTATCCCACCCGTCTCTGCCCAAACCGAGGGGAATTCTTGTAGCCATCTGTCTATATTATCCTCTCTCGGGAGCGCCTCCTGGAGGAGGCGGTATTCATCCTCCAGTTTCATGGTCAGGACCTGGATGGGGTGGCCCTTGCCATCGGTGACCTGAGCCCCCCCCTTGTCTGAAAGTTATCTGAGCTCCAATCTTGGTCAGTAAGTCCCGTCCTAACAGCAGGCAGGCGCATTCTGGTATTACCATAAAGGAGTAGGATACCCGGCCCGGCCCCAAATCTACCGTTCTTCGGGTAGTCCATGAATAGTGGCTCATACCAGTTGCCCCTTGTACCCAGGACTTCTTGCTGGCTAGTTTTCCTTGTGGGGTGCGGAGGACCAAATGTTGTGCTCCAGTGTCGATGAGGAAGTCAACAGGGGTCCCCTCCACTTTAAGAGTTACCCTGGGTTAGGGGAGAGGGTCCAAACCCCGACTCCCCTAATCACTCAGTTTATCTAGCTCTAGGACTTTTACTCGATCAGTCTTGCTTCCCTTCCCGCCGGCCTTTTTCGGACAATCTCGGGCCCAATGCCCTATCTCCTTGCAGTATGCGCACTGATCTTTCTGAAGCCTCTGCTTCCCCCCCTTGGTGGTTCGTTTCCCTTTTCTTGCGTCGTCTGCCAGCTGCCGGAGACGGCGGTCTCGTTCCTCGGGGGAGTCGGCAGTGATAGCTAGTAGTATTCTGGCCAGGTCTCGAGTCTGCTTACTGCTGGCAGCCGCCATGGCACGAAGCTGCTTGTCCTCAGGAGGCTCCCGGTTATTATATACCTTTTCGGCTACCACCAGTAAGTCCTGCAGACTTTTTTCTCCTAGTCTATCTATTTTCTGTAATTTTTTCCTAATGTCTATGGCCGATTGGTTTACAAAGGCCATGATAACAGCTGCCTTGCTTTCCGGAGCCCCTGGATCCATGGGGGTATGGGTACGGAATGCCTCCATGATCCGTTCTAAAAAGGCAGCCGGAGATTCATCTTTTCCCTGTTGCACATTTCCTACTTTGGCCAAATTGGTTGGCTTTCTAGCAGCCATTCGGAGACCCCCCATTAGAGTCTGGCGGTAGACCCGGAGCCTCTCCTTACCTTCTGCCGTGTTGAAATCCCACTGGGGCCGAGTTAAGGGGAAGGAGGCATCTATCTGAGCCTGGTTGGTGGTGGGATTCCCATCTGCGCCTGGAACTAGTTTTTGGGCCTCACTGAGGATTCTTTCTCTTTCTTCAGTCGTGAACAGGACCTGCAAAAGCTGCTGGCAATCGTCCCACGTGGGCTGTTGAGTAAAAAGAACAGAGTCTAATAAATCAATAAGCCCTGCCGGTTTCTCAGAAAACTTAGGATTCTGAGCTTTCCAATTGTAGAGGTCTCTAGTGGCGAAAGGCCAATAGTGATGGGGCTGATTCCCCTCTGTGTCTGGGGGTCCGGTGTCTCGCAGGGGCGGAATACTGGAGTCGGCGGCGGAGGCGGATTGCTCCCTCTGAGCCCTTTGTCTGGTAAAGGGCGGGCTTCCCACTGGAGCGTTTCCGCCTCCCGCTCTCGGAACAGCGTCTGCCTCCCCCGGAGGGGGAGGATGGTGTTCTTCAGGCATCCTAGGGGGGTTATACGGGGGAGGAACAATTAATTCTTCCTTAAAGTGATCAATCATAATACTTAGAGGAGTAGTCTGAGTCTGTCCCATAATGTCCGTCCCGTAAGTCCACAGAACAAAACAGAGAAACACAGAAACAGACAAACAGAGGGCCCCTAGAAAGTCTTCCAACTCCATGGAAGCAAAACTGAAAGCTAGTCGACAGCCTCGCGCTGACCGGCGGAAGCGACCTGCCTCGTCTCAGACCTTTGAGGGGATTCCACGTCCCGCCAAGACTGATGAGGGGATTCCACGTCCCTCCAAAAGGGAGGATCTGAACGTCTTCTGAAACTCCTGGCCCGTGGTCCTCCAGTGCGTCCACTTAGACTGTGTCGGGCACTACCAGAATTTCAGAAATGAGCTCACACAGAAAAGACGGAACAGACACTAACTGTGGCCAGTCAGGCTCTCCAGGTCAGGGGTCCCTTGGGGGTCTTGGGGATCCTGGGCCGAGCCCCCAAATGTTATGCCCAGAATTCCTGATCCCCAAAGACCGCCAGGGAGCCGAGTCCGATGCAAAAGCAAAGAGCCTTTATTCGAGCTAGCTCAAGCTCAATCCCCTACCTGCACAGACGCAGCAGTGAGATGCCGGGGAGAGAGAGTGAGTTTCAAAAGCACAAAGGTTTTATAGGCCAGGTCGCTGGGCACGTTTTGATCGGGAAGTTTGAAAGGGAGAGCGGGAGGTTACTCAGGGGAGGAGGCGTGGTCTGAGGTTTCTGCGATTTTCCCGGAAAAGGGGCCATGTCGGGGACATAGTCATTCAAGGTGGAGGACACAGAACAAGATGGAGTTTGACGGCATAGGTCCGCTCTTTCTCTTGTTCACCTAAAATTTCTCCTGAAAGATGCCCCTCATAGCCTTGTCTGGAGTGTTTTCCCCTCTCCACCTTGAGGAAATAAACTGAGGCTCACAAAGTGAACTCTAAAGCTTCAGTCCACATATATTTGTAAAGAATCAAAATAGCATCTATTAGCTCCCACCTAATAGGGAACACATTTTGTATCAGACTGGCATTGGGATAGTTTCCAGCTTTGGAGGACATCCAAAATCCGGTCTCTAAACATCCATGATCAGTTGCATACTACACTTCATGGAAATCGGAGGGCGTCTCTTTAAGAAGAGCGAAATTCCCTTCAGTTCTCAGAGCTTGGCGGGGGCCGGGGGGGGGGGGGGTCCCATTTCCTCGCCGTCACCCCTTTCCTAGGTTCGTGCCCCATGCCACGCCTGCCGGAACGCGTCTCACTAAGGTCCGAGGCTCCTGGGAACTACATTACCCAGATGCCCCTGCGTCGTGCATCTGCAAGCGCTGGGCCAATGAAGGCCCTGGACAGACGCCTTTCTGAGAGGGGGGAATCCCCCAGACGGGACTTCCGGCTTCTCTTGGCAGTGGTCCTTTTTATCACTCTTGAGCCTGGCCGTTTGATCCGATTCTTAAATAATTGTTGGAGCCCAAGATAAAGTGAGCGGGAGGCATGAAAGTAAATGTGTCCCCACCGACAGAGGCGGTGCTGAGACTTGGTGAGAGTGCCGCCCGGGGTGATACTGTGTGTTTGGCTGAGCCTGCAGCACTGTGGCCTGGTTCCTGGCAACTCCCTGCTTTGCCTTACTGTCGGGCCTTGAGGGTCCTGTGTGCCCTGATGGAGCCAGTGCAAGTTGGTACTGTATCCCTCAAACCCACACCAGTGGGAATCCCATCTCTGAATCCCAAAGACCCGGATGAGTCCCTATGCAGTTCGCTTTCAGTCATGCCCTTTGTTCGGGACTGTGGCGCCTTCCTGGCCGGGATGCCCATTTTTGACTTTCGGCGTGATAAGGAGTTGAATAGTGTTACAGGCAGAGGGACTGTCACGTGCAGAGGCTTGTAAGTGCTACTGAGTGGAGTGTTCGGGGAAACCTGCAGCCTGTTTCCTGTATACAGGAAACAGTGAGTGGTGTGGCAGCCTGAGCAGTTAGGCTTTCATTCCGAGGGCCATGGAGAGTTTTGAATCGAGAGACCTGATGTGAGATAGGATTTTAAAAGGTTCCCAAAGGCCGCTAAGTGTGGAAGGGACTTTGGGGAGGGATAATGAGAGGAAGTGGGGAAAGTTTGAGAAAGTTCCTGTAACAGAGTCTGGGAGCATTACCATGAGGCTGGACCAGAGGGGTAGCCAGAGGACTGTCAACGTAAAACTCTGGGCAAAGTTGAAACAAGCAAGGAAGACAATTCAAGGCTATTGCAGTAGGAGAGAGGGACTGAATTCAACTCCAATGAAATGAAAGGCAGGAGGGTTTTTAAGTGCTGGAGTGAGCCATTGGAAAAGTGCTGGAGGACGTCAGATGGGGAGGTTGATCAGTGGGATCTGCGGGGCACAGGGAGTTACTCCTGAGATTGCACGTCCTTTTTTCTGTGATTAAGACGTATGTGTTTTCTAATTGGTATTTGTAGAAGTTAGGCTTCTCCTGGCCCACGGAGACTGAGAGATAGGGCTGCTGTGTTTTTTGGTGTTCACATTGCAAAGAGATGGTTCCCAAGTCCTTGAGAAAGTCATTTCCTGGGTTGAAAACTGGGCCAGGAGAAAGAAGATTTACATATATTTGGGGGGGGGGAAACGGAGAAACAGTTTACAATCGCAAGTTTCCTAAAGTAAATGCTTTAAGAAAAGGGAGTTTAGGAGCCTATAGTCAGGAAGAACCCTGATTAACACTTAGTCAAGCTGAGGAAATGCTAAGGCTGTCTTGGTAAGGGGGTAGAAATGATACGAGGTAGACCCTAAGGAAAGAGGACTATTTTAAGTATAGAGTACTATCATCTGTCCACCTGCCAAGGCCTATCCTCCCTACCCCCTATTTTTAGCTTAATGAACTTAAGGAACACCATTTGTTTTAAAATTAAGCAATCACTGTTTCTCTAAATGTGTTCCTATAGGTAGTCAATTAAAATTTAAAATGGATTTAGCAAGGTAAATTAAAAAAAAATTTTTTTTTAACGTTTATTTTTGAGAAGGAGACAGAGCGCGAGCAGGGGAGGAGCAGAGAGAAAGGGAGTCAGAATCTGAAGCAGGCTCCAGGCTCCAAGCTGTCAGCACAGAGCCTGATACAGGGCTTAAACTCACAAACCGTGAGATCATGACGAAGTCAGATGCTTAACCGATGGAGCCACCCAGGTGCCCTGAGCAAGGTAAAATTTTAAAAGCAATTAATACTTGGTTTACCCTTAATACGCAGCTAAGCAGTGTACTAATATACTAAAATCAAAAGTGTTAAATATCATATTTTCTTAAATGAATAAAATATCTGAAACATTCAGAATTTCAAAATCCATCACTTAATTCGCATTGAGAACAATAACAAATATGATAGTCATAGCACACACTCAGCACTTAATATGGACTAATGTGTTTGATCCCAACACCAGCCCTATGAGGTTGGTTCCCTTAACTATCCCCATTTTACAGAAGAAGACACTGAAGCAAGGAGAGGTTGAATTGTCCCAAATCACACAGCCAATGAGGTCAAGCTAATGACTGAGGCTTCTTAATTAGACATTCAAATGGAGGTCACCTTGATTCAGGGCAGTGATGAAGGTTTGGATGAACCCTTGAGACCCTACCATGGATACGTATCACTCACAGTCTTACTCTCCTCACAGGGACCCATGGCTGCAGAAATGTTTGTGGATCATGCACAGGTGAGTGGGGGGTATCTCAGTCCCTCACCCACCCCATCTTTACCCATATAGTCTCTGGGGTGTCCTGGAATGCTGTACCTGCCACCCTCATGGCTATTGGGACTGGGGCCCCTGGATTCCTTGAGATTCAAGGTCCTGAGCCCACACCAGGAATTATATGAAGGGGTTTCCATTTCTGACAACCAAGAGGATGCTATTTAGGGGTGTTATAGGCACAGAGATCAGCATTTGCAGATACTTGGAGGTGAAACTGAGTTGGCAGGATTCAGGGAACTGCACGTCTCCAATATGTCTGGTGGGACCAAGGAGCAAAAATGTAGGAATCAGGTCTAGAATGGCAGTCTCAGGAACTATGCCTCTATTCTGAGGATGTTAGGAATGTTGGAACATTAAGAGTAGAGAAGGGAGGTCATTTGAATCATGTTTTAACAGACTTCCTCTGGCTGCAGACTGGAGAACAGAGAGTAGGGGTGGGGGAGGAAGGTACTGAATAGTCCAGATAAGTATTGGTAATGACTGGATCAGGATGTTGGTTGTGGAGGCAGGGGAAAAACGTATGGCTTCTGGGTTGGTTTGTAAAATAGGTCTGACTACTTTGTGATATGGATGGTTAAAGAGAAAGAGAGGAGCTGGAGATAATTCCAAGGGTTGTGGCTTTTGCAACTGGAAGAAAAGAATTACCCTCTACTGAGATGGAGAAGTCATTTGTAGTGTTATGGAACCAGGCTGGAACGCTGGTGGAAAAACCAAGCGGCACTCGGAGATCTTGGTGGATCGGAGATTTATTTAACATCGGCGGGCGGGCTCAGAGGAGACCGTTTCTCCAAAGATCTGAATCCCGGATGAAGGGGGGAAGGGTAATTTATAGTTGTCAGCTTCCATATCTGTGGCGGGTTTTCCTGCACAGCAAACAGGGCAAGAAGAACCCGGAAGAGGGGTCTCTAAGCTAGAGACCAGAGCTTGTTTTAGTCCCATCGCCATCTTATGGTATAAAACTTTGTTCATTTTCCCAACAGTAGGAATAATTTTCAGAGGGAATATCAGGAGTTTGGTTCAAACCTGTTGAGTGTGAGAAGTTCCGGAGACTTCTGAGTGGAGGCATTGAATGGACGGCAAGATGCCCATGTCTGGATTTGAGGGTAAGGGCTCAAGTTCCAGACACCACGAGGTGATGTCCTATATGGGGACCAGGGTAGAGCTGTGAGTCACATTTGGGAAGGGACATCTTCAGGTCATGGTGCCTGAGGGGCAGAGAAGGGGAGGACAAGGCCAGAGGACTGGATCTGTGCCTTGGGCACCTGAGTGGTGTTGGTGAGCATCACAAAGACAGCTGAGGGAGGGTGGTGGCCGTGGGGGAGGAGGTGGGGCTTGTGAGGGTTTGAGGCTTCCACGGAGGAGTGCACATTGGATGGATGTGGAAGCACAACAGTAACGGGAGTGAGATGACAGTGAGGCCAAGGCCAGTGCTTCCTCAGCCCTCTGCGGGCTGGCCAGGCTTTTGTGGTGACCTTGTGGGGCCTGGAGAGGTTTACACAGGCTGGTAGACGAGCTCAGGAACACACAAGGCCAGGGGACAGTGGTGGGAGTGCTGGGTGAGGCTTGACTGGAAAGAGGGAGGCTGAGACTAGTGAGGGGACAGTGTGTGCAGCACAGCAGCAGAAGGGCCTTAAGGTGTGGACCCCTGAATGTGGTTCCAGGTGGGTGAGGCCGAAGCAGGAAAGGATGTGGTGCAGAGGCCTTTAAAGCAGGGCTGGGGGCTTCCCCTGCCAGTGTGGGCCACCTGGGGACCAGCGCAGGATGGATCTTCATTGTATTTGCCAAGTGCTCTTTGGGTGCCAAGGGCAGAGTGGAACATGGGGAGGCCAGGGACATACCCTGGATGGGGGCTGGGATGGAGGAGGAGGTGGCCATGACCATGGGGGTGATGGATGGGAGGGCAATATGGTCCATGGAGTGATGGGTCAGTGGAGAGAGGGAGAACTGAGTGTCCCAGGGCCTCACTCCTAGCAGCTTAAAGGAGAAAGCTGAACCCGTGTTTGCTTGTGTCTCAGAGGCATGACCTGGGAACCCCTGGGGAATTTGCTGGCAGCAGAGGAGGTGGAGCCTTTCATGCCATGCCTGGTGCTTGAATGACATTTATTTATTTGCCATCATGCGTGTGTGGGAACGATATGGGGTGACACAGGAATCAGTAAGAAGGAGGAGAGAGCTAGCACCAGGAGCATCCAGGCCTTGTCGATCCTGTGAGGGGATGTGCATGGATTGGATGTCTGGGGGGTAGACGGAGGGTCCCAGTGAGAGGTGGCTCAGGGCCACTGCTCTCCCCGTCATGGTGGGCTGTTGTGACCTTGGAGGATGTGGCTGTGGACTGGTCTCAGGAGGAGCGGGAGCTCCTTGACAGGGCTCAGAGACTCCTGTACCGTGCTCTGGTGCTAGAGAACTTTGCACTTGTGGCCTCACTGGGTAAGTCTTTCACACTCACCCCGGCGTCCTTGACCAGACTCTTTCATTCTTCGTTTCTGCTCTAAATAAAAGAGCATCCCCTAACATTTAATTTTTTGACGGCACAGTTTGCATCTTTTTATGTTGTATATCCATTAACTAAGTTATGTAGCTATGATTATCTTAAATACTTTTTTTCTTTTAACCCTTGTATTAGAGTTAAGTGATTTATACATCACTATTACAGTAGTGAGTATTCTGAATTTGACTACATATTTACCTTTACCAGTAGTTTGATACTTTTATATGGTTTCATGCGACTAATTAGCATCTGTTCATTTCAGCTTGAAGAACTCCCTTTGGTGTTTCTTGTAGAGTAGGCCTAGCCGTCATGGATTCACTCAGCTTTGTGTTTCTGGGAAAATCTTTATCTCTTCCTCATTCTGAAGGACAGCTTTGCTGGGTAAAGTATAAATATTGGTTATCACATGTTCCCCCAGCACTTTGAATATATCATCCTACTCTTTCCTGCAAGGTTTCTTTGAGAAATAGGGATGTGGGTTTATGTGGGTTCCTTTGGATGAGATGACCTTTTCCTTTTGCTGCCTTCAGAATTCTGTTTTTGACTTTTGACAGTTTTATTATAATATGGCTTGGTGAAGTTTTCTTTGAGTTTAATCTATATGGGGACCTTTGAGCTTCCTGTACCTGAACATCCATATCTCCTCCCTGAGAGGTTTTTAGCCATTATGTGTTAAATAAGCTTTTTGCCTCCCTCTCTCTCTTTTTTTCTGTGATTCCCATAATGCAAATACTGTTTATTTGTTGGTGTCCCATAATTCACAGGGCCTTCTTCACTCTTTTTCATTCTTTTTTTCTTTCTGATAGGGGAATTTCAAATGACCTGTTTTTGAGTTCACAGATTCTTTCTTCTGGTTGATCAAGTCTGTTGTTGATAACCTCTATTGCCATTTTCATTTCATTCATTGTATTCTTCAGCTCCAGAATTTCTGTTTGTTTTATTATTATTATTTCAGTCTGTCTGTTGAACTTCGCAGTTTGCTCCTGTATCATTCTCTTGAATTTATTGAATTTTCTGTGTTCTCTTATAGATTCCTGAGCTTCCTTAAAATTATTTTGAATTCATTGTTCAGCAGTTCATAATCTCCATTTTTCCTCCTGGTCACTTATCAGAAATTACTGTGTCTCGTTTGAAGTGCGTGTTTCCTGTAGCCTGCATTCGCATCTGTATATTTGGTTGAAAGTCACCTCTTCCAGACTTTACGGACTGGGGGTCACCCCTTCCAGACTTTACGGACTGGTTTGCGTGGGAAAGACCTTCCCTGGTAGGTGAGTGCAAGGGCGCCAGCTGGGTGGGGTGTGGCGGTTCCAGCTCTGGGGAAGGCCCAGCTGCATAGTCTCCACGAAGCCCTTTCAGTTGAGGCAGCGACAGTGAGGACTGCAGCAGTCCTCAACAGCCAGTGTTGTAAGGTGTCCACAGGGCCGACGAAGACCACTGGGATCTTTGGTGGCAAAAGTGCTGAGGACCACCTCATCTCTTTTCCTCTCATAGCCCATGTTGTGGCCAGGGGGATCCCTCTTGGTAGCAGGTGTGGCTTTCGGGCACCCTTGCGGTTGTGGTAGCACTGGTGTCCCGTGCATACGTGCCACGGAACAGCCATGGACCTGGAGTCTGGAGTTGGGTGCTCACAGAGCAACAATGTCTCTGGGGTCTTGGGAACTGGCTAGCCTACAGATGCAGTGGTTCCGGTGTCTGAGGCACAGGCATGTGCAGAGCAGCCACAGAGCCAGGGACTGGAGCCCATGTACCAGTGGAGCAACAGTGGCTTTGGGCGTTGGATGGTCTGAAGCAGCAGTAGCTCTCCTGCCCAAGATGTGGGCACACGTGGAGAAGCTATGCATCTGAGATCTGAAGTGTCGGCACACCCCCAGAAGCCATGGCTCTGGGATCCAGGGCACACGCAGGTGGGGGGTGGGGGGGCTGGTAGCCCTGGTCCCGGGGTAGCGTAATAGCAGCTCCCTCAGGGAAGGACCTGCAGCAGCGATGCCCTCCCCGAGGGTTCCAGGGTGGCACGGCTGTGGCAAAAACTGCTGGTGCCCTCTCTGGAACGGAGTATGGGTTCTGTGCTGATTAACGCAAGGTTCTCTGCCGTAAAAGCTGCAGGTGTGGCTGATGTGGGGGATGTTTAAGTTCTCGGTGGCAAGGGCTGCCAGGCTCCTTGCAGAGCAGGCACTGGGGGTCAATGATGGCACCCACCATGTGGTTGATACTGATGAAAGGTCTCTGCCCCTTCTCTCTTCTGCTAGCCATCTCCGGACATCTCAGGTAAGCGGAGCTCCCCGGCAGTCCATCCTGTGAGGTTATTCTTCATTTTTTTGCTCTACTGTGTTACTGTAGGTTCTTTTTTGTTTTGTTTTGTTTACTTATTTATTTTGAAAGAAAGCATGAGCAGGGGAGGGGTAGAGAGAGAGAGGGAGAGAGAGGGGTAGAGAGAGAAGGAGAGAGATGTGGGGCTTGAACCCATGAAACCATGAGATCATGACCTGAGCTGAAATCAAGAGTCAGACGTTTAACCAACTGAGCCACCCAGGTGCCCCTGTAGGTTCTTAATTGAACTCTTGAGTCCTCTCCAAACTATTTTTAGTCGTGGATAGTTTTTTTAATTGTTGTTTTTCTGTGGGAGGATGAAGGCTTGTAGCTCCTACCCAGCCATCTTGATGACATCAATCTTCCCAGAGTCTCACGATGCAGCAGTGTGTGGACCACCTGCTACTGGTGCCTGTATGAGCCTGGACCTAAAATGTGATATTTTAACATATGTATATATCCGTGAAACCACCATAATAATGATAATGAATATATAGATCACCCTCAAAGTTACCTCATGACCCTTTATAGTCCCTGTCTTCCTTCCTGGCTCCTTATCCCCATGATCAGAGATTAACTGTCTTTCATTCTAGACTTGTTTGCCTTTTCTAGAATGTTATATAAATGGAATTATAAAATATTTATTCTTTTTTGTTTGTTATCTCTTTTCATTTTGTTCAATTATTTGGAATTCATTGAAGTCATATGTTTGAGTACTTCATTCTTTTCATTACTGAGTAGTGTTTTCTGGTATGAACATACCCTAATTTCTTATTCTGTTCATCTGTTAATGAACCTTTGGACTGATTCCAGTTTGAGGTTATTATAAATAAAGCTGTTATGAACATTCATGAACCAGTCTTTTTGGGGGGTTAATACTTAGCAGTACAATGCCTGAATCAAGGGTTTGGTGAGTGTTTGTCATTCTGTGAACCGACAAAACTGTCCCAAAGTGGTTTTACCATTTTACATTCCCATCAGCAACTGATGAGAGTTCTAGCTTCTCTGGAGCTTCATCGACACTTGGTAGGTCAATCTTTTTAATTTCAGCCATTCCCAGATATGTGTAGTGATATCTCATTGTGACTCTAACTTGTAATCCCTTAGCAACTAGTGTTTTTAGAAATTTTACATACGATTAATGACATTCTCCTATTTTCTTTAGTGAATTGTCTGTTAAAATCTTTTCTTCATTTTAAAACATTTTTTTGTTATTTTATTGAGTTTTAAGAATTCTTAATAAATTCTGGATATGGGAAACCCGTTAGATATGTGGTTTGCCTATATAGGCATCCAGTGTGCGGCTTCTCTTTTCATCTCTTAACAGTGTCTTTCCTATGGCAGAAATCTTTAATGTTAGTGAAGTCAGATTTGTCTTTTTTTTTTTCTTTTATTGAACCCATTTTTTCAGTTATATAAAAGAAATCTGTATAACTCAAGAGAAAAAAATCTCTAATGTAAAGGAGGATCTATAGTTAGATTTATAATTCATTTTCAGTTAATTCTCCTTTATTGTGTGAGACATGGGGGTGAAAGTTCTCTTAAAAAAAGGACATCCGATTGCACCATCTAAATTAGTTGAAGAGTATCTTTTCTCACTGAATTGGCTTTGCACCTCTCTTAAAAAATCAGTTGCTCTTATATGATGTTATTTTTGGATTTTCTATTCTGTTTCATTCATCTCTTTATCTGTACTTTGGCAAGTATCTTAAAGTCCTAATATGATTTTATAATATGTCTTGAAATTGGATAATATAGTCTTCTAACTCTGTTTTTCTTTTCCAATTTGTGTTGGCTATTCTAACTCTTGCATTTCCATATGGTTTTAGACCCCCTTGTCAACTTCTAATGAAAACATACTAGGATTTTGACTGGGATTGCTTTAGATTAATTTGAATATAATTAGCACATTAACAATAGTGAGTGTTTCAGTCCATAAAAACAGAATATATTTCCCTTTATTTAGATATTTATTTTTTCTCAGAAGTATTTTCTAGTTTTCTGTTTATATTTCTTGTACATTTTATCTCCAAAAATTTCATGTCTGAGGCTCTTTTAAAAAGTATTTTTTGTGTCAATTTCCAGTTGTTCTTTGGTACTGTATAGAAGTGAAATTGCTTTATTTTTATTTTTTATTATTTTTGTATTTTTAAATTTTCTTTCTTAAATTGAAGTATAATTAAAATACAGCATTATATTAGTATCAGGTGTTACAATATAAGGATTCAGCAATTTTGTACATTACTCAGTGCTCTAAGGGTACTCTTAATCCTTTTCACCACCTCCCCTTTGGCAACCACCAGTTCTCTGTATTGAAGTATCTGTTTTTTTGTTTCTTTTTTTCTTTGTTTGTTCCTTTGCTTTTAAAAATTCCAAATGTGCATGATATCATATGGTATTTGTCTTTCTTTGGTTGACTTATTTCACGTATCAGTTGCACTCTTGACTGTATGCCCCAGATCATGAGTACTTAAGTTCATGCAAAAACTTGTGCCCAAATGTTTATAGCAACTTTATTCATAATAGCCCCAATGTCATTCAGTAGGTGAATGCTTAAATAAACTGTGGTCCATCCATACTATTTGGCAATAAAAAGTACCAAACTATTGATACATGCTACAACTTGAATGGTTTTCAAGGGAATTAAGTGCAAAGAGCCAATATCAATAGGGCACATAGTGTGTGGTTCCATTTATGTAATATTTTTAAAATCACAGATTAGTGGTTGCCAGAGAAGAATTAGGTAGCTAAGGAGGGAAGAAGGTGGCTGTGGTTATAAAAGGGATCCTTGTGATGGAACAGTTTTGTGTCTTGACTGTCACACAAATCTACACTTGACAAAATTGTGTAGATATAAACACACACGAGTACGTGAACTTGAAATATTAGCCTGGTGAACTGTATCATGTCAATTTTCTGGTCTTGATATTGTACTATAGTTATGCAAGTTGATGCCAAGGGGGAAACTTATGGGTTATCTTTTTGTTTCTTACAACTGTGTGTGAATCTACAGTGACCTCAAAATGAAAAGTTAAATGAAAGTAAGGGGATGGAAAAAGATATGCTACACTAACGCTAGTCTAAACAACACTATTATGCCTATAGTGAAATCATACAAAGTAGGTTTATCAACAAAGAATATTACTGAAGTAAAATAAGTATATAAAAGACTGATAAAGAGGCCTTTTCTAAGAGATTATGATAATCATAAATGTGCATACACCTAACAACAAACCTTAAATTATTTAAATTTTTTTTTCAACGTTTATTTATTTTTGGGACAGAGAGAGACAGAGCATGAACAGGGGAGGGGCAGAGAGAGAGGGAGACACAGAATCGGAAACAGGCTCCAGGCTCTGAGCCATCAGCCCAGAGCCCGACGCGGGGCTCGAACTCACGGACCGCAAGATCGTGACCTGGCTGAAGTCGGACGCTTAACCGACTGCGCCACCCAGGCGCCCCGAAACCTTAAATTATTTAAACAATAAGTCAGAAGCTAAAGTAAAACATAGACTAATCCACAATTACAATACAAAATTTCTGCAGTTTTCTCAATAATTGATAGAACAATTGAATGAATAATTGGTATGGATATAGAATCCTTGAAGAAATCAGTCAGCTAACTTGAACTAATTCACATTTATTTTTAGACTGCTCCATCCAACAACAGAATACACTTTCTTTTCAAGTACCCAAGAGATGTTCACCAAGATCACCATATTCTAGGAACTAAATCTCAACAAATTTAAAATGATTAAAATCATGAATGTATTTCTCTGGTCACAAAGAAATTATACTAGAAAGCATTAAAGTACATGATCTGGGAAAATCCATGAACATTTGGAAATTAGACAACATATTAATGAAGACTCAGACACAGAATTATAAGGCAAATTAAGAAATACTTTTAACTGAATGAAAATGAAAATCTAATATAGAATTGATACATCTGCAAGTACAGATAGATGAATCCACTATTATAGTTGAAGACTTCAACACCCCTCTACAAAAAAATGAACAGATCTAACGGGCAGAAAATCAATGAGGACATAACTGAGCTTAAGAGCACCATCAGTTATTTATTCTGGTATACATAGCATCTATGGAATATGTCATCCAACAGTAGTAGAATACACATTCTTCTCAAATGTGGAATATTCACCAAAGAGACTACATTCTGAGTCATAAAACACAATTTAAACTTAAAAGAATAGAAATCATGTAACATGTTTTCAGACTACCATGGAATTAAACTAGAAAAGATAGCTAGAAAATCTCAGAATATGTGGAGATTAAACAACACATTTCTAAACAATGCGTGGATCGAAGAGGAACTTGCAAGAGAAATTTTAAAATATTTTGAAATAAATGAAGTGAAAATATAATCTACCTAAATTTGTGGGATGAAGAAAAATCTAAAATCAGTCATCTAAACCAGAAACTTTAGCAATTGAAGAAAGAAAAGAAAATTAAATCCAAAGTAATAAGAAAAGAAATAATAAGAGGGTAGAAGTCAATGAAATTGAAAGCAGGAAATCAACAGATAAAATCAACAAAACCAAAAACTAATTATTTGAAATATCAACAAAATCAATAAGCTTCTAACTGGGCTAGTTCAAAAGAGAGAAGACACAAATTACTAATATCAGAAATGAAAGAGTTCACAGCACTACAGACTCCATAGATACTAAAAGGATAATAAAAGAATATTATAAACAACTCTATGCCCACAAATTTAATAACTTAGATGAAATGAACCGATTCCTTAAAAGACACAGTCTGACAAAATTCACGCAAGAAAAAACAAACTGAATAGGCTTTTTATGTCTATTAAAGAGTTTGAATCAGTATTTAATAATCTTCCAAAACAGAAAGTACCAGCTCCAAGTAGTTTCACTGGTGAGTTCTACCAAATATTTGAGAAGTTATATCATTTCTCTACAATCTCATTCAGAGGATAAAGGCAGAAGGGATACTTTCTAATTCATTCTATGAGGCCAGCATTGCCCTAATACCAATGTTAGACAAAGACATTACAAGAAAAAAACTACAGATCAATATCTCCCATGAACATAAGTACAAAAATCAACAAAATATTAGCAAATCAAATCCAACAAGGTATGAGAAGTTCTACACCTCAGCCAAGTGGGATTTATTCCAAGGATGCAGTCTGACATTGGAAAGTCAATTAATGTCATCCATCACATCAACAGACTAAAGGATAAAAATCGCATGATCATATCAATAGATGCATAAAGAGCATATGACAAAAATCTAGCATTCATTCATTATTTTAAAAAACCTCAGCAAAGTAGAAATAGAGGAGAGCTTTCTCAGCTTTATATAGAACAACTTCAAAAACACTACAAATAACATCATACTTAATGGTGAGCAGCTAGGAGCTTTCCTGCTAAGATCAGAAACAAGGTAAGAATATGCTTTCTCATCATTCCTTTTCAGCATAGTATGGGAAGTCCTAACTAAGGCAATAAGGGAAGAAAAGGAAATAGAAATATTTAGGTTGGGAAGGAAGAAATGAAAATCTTTGTTTGTAGGTGACTATATTGTCTGTATAGAAAATCCTAAATAATCAAGAAAAAAAGAACTCCTGGAATTAATAAGTGATTATAGCAAAGTTTCAGAATATAAGTTAATATTCGAAAGTGTTAACTGCTTTCGTATATACCAGCAATGAACAATTGGAATTTAAAATTAAAAATAATACCATTTATATTAGCTTCCCCCAAAATGAAATACTTGAGAGCAAATGTAACTATATATATAGATATATATAAGATGTTTGTGAGTAAAACTACAAAACCAATGAATGGAATTAAAGAACTAAATAAATGTAGAGATACTCCATGTTCATGGATAGGAAGATTCAGTATAGTCAAGATGTCAGTTCTTCCCAACTTGATCTATAGATTAAATGCAATCACAGTGTAAATCCTAGCAAGTCATTTTGTGGATATTGGCAAACTGATCCTTAAGTTTAAGTTTGTATGAAGAGGCAAAGGATCTGGAATACCCAGCATAATATTGAAGGAGAACAGAGGACTGACAATACGTAGTATAAAGCTATAGTAATCGAGACAGTAGGGTATTGGTGAAAAAATAGACAGATAAATGGAACAGAAAAGAAAGCCCAGAAGTAGACCCACATAAATATCGTCAACTGATTTTTGGCAAAGCAGCAAAGGTAATTCAGTGGGAAAAAGATTGTCTTTTCTAATGTTGCTGCTGGACAATTGAACATCCACATCTAAAAAAAAAGTAATCTGGACACAGACCTTATACCCTTCACAAAAATTAACTCAGAATGGTCACAAACCTAAATGTAAGAAACCAAACCAAACAAAAAACCCACAAAAATTCCCAGAAGATGGAGAATTAAAGTGACCTTGGGTTTGGTGATGATTATTTATTTATTTATTTATTTATATTTATTAAAAAAATTTTTTTTTACATTTACTTATTTTTGATAGAGACAGAGCACAAGTGGGAGCGGGGCAGAGAGAGAAGGAGACACAGAATCCGAAACAGGCTCCAGGCTCCAGGCTCCGAGCTGTCAGCACAGAGCCCGACGAGGGGCTCTAACTCACAAACCACAGATCACGACCTGAGCCGAAGTCGGACGTTTAACCGACTGAGCCACCCAGGTGCCCCTGGTGATGACTTTTTAGACATAACATCAAATGCACAGTTTGTGAAAGAAAACATCATTTAAACTTTATTCAAATTGAAAACTCAGGATTTGCAAAACATGGTGTTAAAAGAATGGGAAGACAAGCCACAGACTGGGAGAAAATCTTTACAAAACACATATGTGATAAAGGACTGGTATCAAAAATATGGAAATTTCTTAAAACCCAACAATAATAACACGACAAACTCAATTGAAAAGGGTATAATAGGTCAGAATAGACATGGTCCCAGAGAATATATACAGATGGCAAATAACCTCTGAAAAGATACTCAACTTCACGTGTTATTAGGAAATTACAAATTAAAAAACAATGAGATACCACTACGCAACAATTAGAATGGCCAGTATCCAAAACAGAAACACCAAACAAAGGAAGTGTGTGGAACAAGAGGAATCCTTCATTGTTGCTGGGAATGCAAAACAGTACAGTCACTCTGGAGACTGGCAGTTTCTTTTACAAAGCTAAATACACTATTACCATACGATCCAGTTGATATTTACCCAAATGAGTTGAAACATATGTCCCCATACAATACTTCCCATGAATAATTTCCCAAACCTGGAAGCAAGAAAGATGCCCTTCAGTAGATGAGTGGAAAAACAAACTGATACAACTATAACATGGAATATTATTCAGTGATAAAAAGAAATGAGCTACCAAGCTACTAAAAGACATGGAAGAAACCCTTAATGGATATTGCTAAGTGAAGGAAGTCAATCTAAAAAGCTACACACTGTATGGTTCCCGCTACATGACATTCTAGAAAGGCAAAACCATGGAGAGAGTAAAAAGATCAGTGTTTGCCATGGGATCAGAAAGAGGGAGGGAAGGATGAATACACAGGTGGAGCACGGAGGACTTTTAGGGCAGGTAAAACTATCCTGTATGATACTATAATGATGAATACATGTCATTATACATTTGTCAAAAGCTATAGAATATACAGCACAAAGAATGAAACCTAGCATAAATTGTGGAAGTTAATTAATGATAATATATTAGCATTGGCTTCTCATTTGTACCAAATATACTAATGCAAAGGATTAATTATAAGAGAAATGGTATAGAGAGGGAGAAGGGGAGTTGACTATGGAAAATCCCATGTTCTGTCACTTTTTTTTTTTTTTTTTTGTAAATCAAGAACTGCTTTAAAAAAAAAAGTCAAGTGGGTGATGGCAAGTGAGGAGGGCACCTGTTGGGATGAGCACTGGCTGTCGTATGGAAACCAATTTGACAATAAATTATATTTAATATATATATATATATGAAAAAAGTCTATTTAAAAAAAATGTAGGAAACCAGCAATTAGACTGTGTTTCATTTTCAGCTAGGTGGAAGGGCCGAGAAGTGCCCCTTGAGGCCTCTGGCTGGACAGAGGTCTGAAAGGATGGAGAGGCCGGTTCTGGGACACCCTTTCACTCTGGAGTTCAGGGTAGACCGTGGACCAGGAAGGGAAGACCTGGACTGCAGGACCTGCTCTGCAGCCACAGCTGACAGTCAGGCTTCTGTGATCCTATGAGGATATTTTTATCTTGGGGCACCTGGGTGGCTCAGTCAGTTAAGCATCCAACTCATGATTTCGGCTCAGGGCATGATCTTGTGGTTCCTGAGTTTGAGCCCCGTGTCAGGCTCCCCGCTGATAGTGCGGATTCTGCTTGAGATTCTCTGTGTCTCTCTCTCTCTGCCCCTCCCCTGCGCATGCTCTCTCTCAAAAATAAACATAAAAATTTTTTTCATCTTGCATAGAGAGGAAAACATTTTTCCTGAATTATTCTTGTGTAGAAATAAGTTGATCAGTGTTGACACAGAAAAACATACAACTTGAGAATCAGAGCCTTTAACAGTTGGAAAGGGCCCTGAAATTAGTAAAATTTGCTGCCAACAGAAGAGAAATAAATGTTGCTCCTGTGCAACTTGCCTCTGCCCTTTGTGTATGAGGGGAGAAGCAGGACCAAGGGGGATGCCAGATTTCATGACACATAAGAGCCTTGTTGAAGGACACCAATATCACTTTAAAGTAAAAACAACAGGTTCTCATGAAAATTACAAACTTCCTATTATCATCTACACATAGGTTTACTTCAGCTAAGAGGACACTGGCAAATCACTAGTAAATTGAAACTGACACAGAAGCAGTCAGCAGGGGAAGGGGAGGCAGAGAGATCTATTTGTCGCTCAGTGGACAGCTGGCAGTGTTTGGGGATAGACAAGAAGCCAAGCACCAGGAAAGGATGTCTTTTTTGGTGTCACTTTATTCTTTTAGTTTTAACAAGGAAACTAAATGGAAGGCTTGTGGGCATCTGCTTGGCCAAGGCCAGAGCAGGCCCATGTGTGACTTTGTGCCACAAGAGACAGGAGACTTTGTGTCTAGGAACCTCTTCCTTGTTTTGGAAACGATCTTATCTCCGATCCCTGATATGTTAGGACAAGGTGAGACCACCCACCTCCTCCATCCTGAAAAGCGTTGGGAGCACACAGTGAGAATTTAAAGTTGATGGCAACTCAGGAACCATGCTTGAATTCTGGAATCAGGCCTGCCTAAGAGTGTGTGTTTGGTGTATGGCGGTAGGGGAGGACAGTACAAGGAGAGCCTACATTTGGGGAGATGGTGGGAGGCATCGGCAATTTTTCTCAACCAGACAGGAAAAGGAAGAGGGGTTATACCGTTTCTGGGTAAAACTGGTTTTAATTTAATGCCAGGAAGAAGATGAGGGCTGCCTCACCATCACCTCAGTCCTTTCTAGAAGTTTCCTTTGATAAGTCTTGATTTCCTGGTGCTTCTTCCATAGTCACAAATCCAATGCACTTTATGTTGGAAGACAAGTTGATACCTGCTGATCCCAGGTATTGTGCAGCATGTTGTGATTCCCCAGGTACTCAGGGCAGAGGACCTTGGAGGGTTTGTGGTAAAGCAGATACTCATTCCGGTGGCTCTCACCATGCCTCGCAGCTTTGATGTGGTTGGCTTGGTCGGCTATTTGTGCCTTGTGGCGGGCCTTGCTGAGCCTGTAAACCTCTGGCACTGACCCCCCAAAAAGGCCCCTGTGTAATGAAAGTCCCCCTCATCTTCAGGAACATGGGCTTGTGACTGAGGCCAACGTTCATAGGGGAAGTGGGTCCGACTGAGCCCATGGTAGCCAGGATGCAGGGTGCGGAACAAGGAGGAGAGGATCTCCACGCCCGTGTGGTCGCTGAACTTCATGTCCGCATCCACACACACAAGGTAATCTGCTTCCTGGTGGAAGCGTTGCTGGGGAAAATTGATTATCTCCGTGCGGTGAGTGGAGATGTCCTCCCAGTGGGCATGGCTCTGGACCTTGAGGATGACTGTCTGCCCACCTTTTTGGATGTTCATATGAGGAACGTAGTCTGGCTGGTCAGTGAAGACGTAGTAGTTCATCCTGTGTCCCGCCATGAAGTACATCTCTGCAGTTCCAGCAATACCTTCAGGTGGGTTTTGGGTTTTTTAGCAGGAAACGTGATGAATCCAATGGTGGCATTCTGGAGCTGGAACTGCTCATTCAGGATGTCAGTTTTTAAAATCCCCTCCCAGAGGATGGGAGCCAGCCGAGGGGTCATGACAAGGACATCTTTCCCAGAGGGTGTCAGAACATCTGGCTGGGGATACGTCATCTTTGATGATTTTATACTTTCCAGGCCATGGATTTTGCTAATAACCTTTCTTGTCCCAGCTGAGCTGCTTCGTAGCATCTGGTTTCTTGGATTCAGTAGTAGCAGCCAAAGAAGGCCAAGGCAAGAGCTACTAAAAGAAGGAAGTTCACTCAATGAGGCGAGTAACATTTTACGTCCTCTGAGAATATCCTCAGCAGCTGAGCCATGACCCCACTTTCAGTATTGCACCCTAAGTCTCCTGGATGCTGCTAAGGACCTGCACCTCCTCAAGGCTCCACTCACAGCAGCCTTCCCTGGGCAGAGTGAGGTGGAGCACATTGACTATGAGGTGTTCATGCCCTCTGCTTCTCCTGAGGTCCCACCTCCACACAAAGGGCCCCTGGAAGCTGGGAGTTCAGGGTCACCAAGCTAAGTAAGATTCCTAGACTGGCAGAACATTGATAAATTCAGTTCTGATTTGAGGTTGTATCAGATAACCAGGTAGCAGGACTCAGTCAATGGGCCACTAGAACCTCCGGGCCAGCATGTAGGAGGGCAGTCCAGACTCCTGAAACTGGCTCATGGAGGCCACTGAGCAGGTAAAAGGCAGAGATTGTGATGAAAGCAGGGCAGGGCAGTAGCCACCAGAGAGCATGAACAGGAGGGTAGAGGGCTTGTGCTCCAGCCTTCCCTTGACACTTACTGGCTGTGAGGCCTTTACATAAGCACAAAATTTCCTGAAAGTCAATAAAATTGAGAACAGAATGTCTTCAAGTTCACATCCAGGCAGGTTCATGTGGGCCATCATTCAGGAGGCCTGATTTGGTAACCATGCTGCAAGAGAGAGAGGATCTACAGCTCAAGGATTGTTTTCCTTTGTTCCTCTAATAATCACTTAAAATTCCACTGAGCCCTTACTCTGCAGATTCCAGGCCTTATACTGTGGTGAGGATTAGGCTGCTAAACCTTATGGGCATTATGTTGCTGACTCCTCAAATCAAGGCCAGGGGCTGGATGGTACACTACCCTCAAGGTCTAAGTGGAGAGACACACTCAGAGAGATGGGTGAACAGCCCATGACTGCATGGCCAGCTGGCAAGTGTCAACTAAGCAGCCAGACTCCAGGACTGGGTTCTTGGCCACCCTGTACTCTGATTCTCTGCCTTGCCTGTGTAGACTTTGCAGTTTCCTTTTTCCGGGCTCTTTCCCCCATCACGTTCCTTTGGTTTTCCCCCTTATGCTTGCCATAGGGTCCGTTGACCCTAGGCAGGGCCCTCAAGGTGGAGAAGGGAACTTGATCCAGGGTGATTTTAGACTCAGGGCTTATTGTACTCTGCCCACACCTGTATCCCCCTCTGTGGTCCTAGGAGTTCCAAGCTTATGTCTCTTGGAAAATAAAACTTCTGGCACAGACTTCTGCAGCGCCCTGTGGGACTAACAGTTGGTATAAGAGTCCCATGGCGGGTAGGGAGCACTTGCCATCTGCACCCTGAAACTGGCTGGCGTTCTTGTGTTGCTCTGCGGCACCTTGTTTCTGCCTCCCACAGAAGTAGGTGGCTGAAGACATGGTTTTTCCAGGCTTTCTGAAATCTTCTTAGGGTAGTTCTGAGCATGTTAGGAGGAAGGAATGAGTGACTTTTGGTGAGTGTCTTAAGGGTCTGACACTTCACCCTTGTGGTCCAGATAGTGACATTTGCCTAGCTGTGCATAAGAACGTTTGTGTAATCTTTTTTTTAAAGACTTTATTTTTAAGTAATCTCTGTACCCAACACGGGGCTTGAACTCACAACCCCGAGACCAAGAGTCAGATGCTCTACTGACTAAGCCAGACAGGCATCCCAAGAATGTTTGTGTAATCCTGATTGTCACCCCTAGTCAATGATGCTAATGTAGTGGCAAAATATCAAGACAACCCTGTGATGTTGCAAATGCCAGAAAACTGAAACACTGCTTTGAGGAAAAAATGGCACCAGAGGATGAGGAGCATGTGCTTGACATGCTTGTGGGTCTAGCCGTATGTGTCTGTGGCTCTGGTGCCTATCTGGGGACTCTGCTCATCCCAGGGCAGGCTCAACGCATTGCCCTGCTCACCATGGCATTTCCCTGGGAACCTTGGAGATTCAAGAACCTCACAGAATAAAGAGGTAGAAGGGATGGGGCAGACACTGGCGATGTAGGAAAAGACCAGAAAGAGACCACTGTAGCCTCTGACCACTCGGGCAAGCCCTGACTGCTCGGCAATGCCAGGCCACTAGCCCGAGAACCTCCAGGCTCACCTGTCTCCATGGCACCACCTGGCCAGTGTGTCAGGCCCTGGGCTCTGGCCTTCCTGACTCCAGCCTCAGCAACACAAGTGCCTGGATCCTCTTTAGACTGTCACCACTGCCACTGGCCACTTACATTGTCCAGACTTTATCCTAGCACCCCCAACCCTTTGTCCATGCTTCCCTAATATCCTCATTTTACCTCTTTCTGTAGAATCCAGGGGGTTATTCTGTGGCTTACACACCAGGACACATTCTCCAAAGGGCCCCCCGCTCCCTAGACCTGTTACACACCAAGACAAGGACTAGAACATATCCTCTCTCAATTGCTGTCATACCCGATGGGGACAGGGCCCTGCTTCAAGCTGCTAGTCCCTGGAAAAACAGCAGGAGGAAGCTGACCTGGAACAATAAATTGCTGCAGGTTCATTGCAGCCCCCATCCTCTCCCAGGAACCCAGAGACTCATCTGGAATACTGGCAAGACCTCCTCAGCAACTTCATTCTGTCCTGCCCCAGAATACCCACTCCTATCCCTCCAGATGGGACGAGTTACCCCTTCCTCCTCTTTTTGCTGTATTGGAGGGAGCCTTAAGAGAGCTTTTCAGGCATACCTTTGGATACTCTTATGCACCAGATTGAGAGGAATCCACCTTTACTTGCTCACATCCAAAAGCCACACTCCAAACAAGGTGTCAGGCCCCTTTCCATAAGTGTCCAATGATTTTGCCATGCAACTTGGTGTCTCTTTCTCCTTGAGGCCTCATCGGGTTGTAGGACCTTTTCTTTTTAGGATGCAGCGTACTCATGTCCTTTGTGTTACTGGAGCCATCCTGGCCGGGAGCCCTAAAGAAGCCATTTGCCTGATATAGGTAGTCTCAGCAAACTGCCGCGTCCAGATGTCTGACTGGAGATTCCGATAAAGACTTGCAAATCTGCCGCCAAGTACTTACCCCCTGGGCTAGAGGTTGGGCTCTTTGGGGGGATACCCCACGGACCACACCTGTGACTTCTGGCTGGGGCTGGATGTGAATGCCCTCAGGATGCAGTTCCTCAACTGAACTTGTTATAGGGTTGGGAAGGTGGGGAAGACGACAATCACAGCAGCTAGAGTGTCTGAGCACTTCTGTGGACCAGGACCCACAGGTCACATGCATTATCTACCAAATTTCAGCCTCTCAGCTACCTTGAGAAATGGGAGTAATCCTCATAGTCTTAGAAGTGAGGAAACGGAGGCTCAGAGAGAGAAAGTGTGTGAAGAAATGTTGATGGCTCCTGAGGAGCAGAATCTGCTCCTACCGCCCCCTGTTGGAGAGACAGGCTCGGTGAACTCACTTGTGTCTGTGCATATATTACAGTCCTCTGGGCCTCTGATATACATCTAAAAAATGGGAAAAAGTAACTCCCATTTCCATGGCTGTGGTGAGTGCAAAGTAAAATCATTGGTACGAAGGGGCTCCTGTCCCAAGCAACTGACACGGAGACAAAGAACAAAGATACGGTTCTTGGTTGCAGGATAAGCGCTGAGCCTGGCCAGGACCAAGAAACTGCCTCTTACATTTCAGTTTTTTTTTTTCTGTGGTGGACTGAGCTGCCTCCACATACTCTTACCACAAAGTGGGTCTTATATACAGAGCTGGGTTCCTGGGTCCCAGGGCTTCAGAACTCCTCCTGTGGCTCTGCTCCGTAGGGGTGATTCTGGAGCTCTCTCATGTCTAACTGCCCCACTCTCGCCTAGTTCAGTGATGGCCCACCGAGAGCTGCCTGAGGAAAGAGCCTGCGAGGCCTTCACCACCGGGACCTTCTCAGGATGAGTGTTCCTATGATCCTCGTGGCAAGGAGCCTATGGGATCCTCCCTAAACTGGATGCACTGGCAGTCACTCATCTTCTTGTGATGTGTGCTCTGTTGGTGGCAGTGGAAGGCCACCTTGCTCAGGATGAGAGGTGGCCCTGGGGCTGCCCTCACCCCTCAACTCCACTCCACATCATGGGTAGAGGCTGCTTCTAAAATGGGGTACGAACCTCTGTCTCTGTAGAAGCTAAGGGGAAAGAAGGTGGCACAGGGAGGTTGTGGGCAGAGAATCTACACTCCAGCCAAGTGCATGTGAACCAGGAGGTATGTTCCACTGCTCACCCATTCCGGGGGCTTACTGGAACGGTGCTAGCCATCCAGATGAGTTGGACGGGTGCAAGGTCTCGGATAAGTACTCTCACCTATAGATGAGCGTACAGGTATGATGGGTGCCTTGTCTAAAGACGAGGAGAGATGATGAAGGGTAGTTTGTTCTCACAACACAGATAATATCTTGGCTGTTGCCCAACTTCCACAGAACTGCCTGAGGACTGCTAGGCATCAGTAGCACCGGTGCTTTCCATGTGCTGCCTCCCCTCTCACTTCCCTCTGCCAAACTGTAGAATCTTTATCTAATCTGGTGTTGGGGAAATTATCATGACAGGACATCCTTCTAAATCTCTGATACCAAAATTTAGGATTTGGAGGTGAAAGCCACAATTTGTCTTTTCATGTCTGCTGCTGACATGTCATTTCCTCCATTAATCATGAAGCCCCCCCACCCCCATTTTCACCTGCCCGAGTTCATGTGCAGCGATAGTGGACAGCCTCCCCCGCCCCCCAGCAGACATGGTGCCTCCTCAAATACTTGTATGTCTTCTTACTGCTTGGCAGCTTTCTCCGCCACGTGGGAGCTTGGCGGGCCATTGTCAGGCTCACTCTGAAAGTGCAGGGGTACTTAATAT